AGCGCGTGCGCGCGCAGCCCTGCTGCCGCCCGACGGCCTACGAGGACGAAGTGTCCTTCCTGGACTCGCACAGCCGCTACCACACGGTGCACGAGCTGTCGGCGCGCGAGTGCGCCTGTGTGTGACCCTACCTCACAGGGCCGGCCAGACGGCGGCCATTCCCTCCCCGCCCGCGAAAGCCCCGCCCGACGACACTCACCGTGCTGCCTGGCACACCGCGACAGACTGCCCTTGCGCGGGACACGCCGGCGAGGCTTCGGCACTCTCGCGATAACTGTACGGAAATAAAGTGTGGAACGTCGCTCCGCTGGTGATTCTGCGCCCGGCTGTCCGCCTGTCGCGGGGCACGAGGGCGCGTGGCCAGGTGGCGCCATCTCCGGCGGGAAAGGCGGCATGCGTGCGGGTTCCGCCCGCAGGATGGCGCGACGCCCCCGCGCGCTTTCGGGGAAAAGGAAAGCGGTGCGACGAGGGTCCCGCTTCCGGGGTACCGAAAGGAAAGTGGGTGAACGGGGCCGCTGCCCATCGTCGCCTCCGTGCAGGGCCCTGTGCTCATTCCCAGCGTGTCCCCGTTCCCCCTCCACGCAGCGTGTGATTCAGGGGACAGAAGTGTGAGAACGGAGGCAGGAAAGGAAGGCGCGGTCACTCTGCAGAGGAGGAGACTGACGGCCAGGTGGGCCCCGACCTCACGCCACGGGCATCCTCAAGCCGGCTCAGCCCCCGCCGGAGTGAACGCTGGGCCGCTGTCTCCTTTCACTAGCCAAGAATACATGCGCGCTGCCCATCTCCCTGAGGGGACAGGTCTGGGGCGGGCGCCAGGCCCCTCCAGCCCGGAACCGGCGCCTGCCAGGCAGAGCCCGTCCCTAGGGGTTTAGGTCCGAGGGCAGAGGCGAGCATACGGCCATGGCGGGAGCTCTACGAACGATTTATGACGATCCCCCACGGGGGATGGAAAATTCCGCGCAGTGTTTAGATTTGCTCGCGGTGACACCTTGATGCTTGGCAGGCCCAGGACGGTGTGGGCCGCTGAGTGCCCAGAGCCCAGGCAGGAATGGGCTGGTCCCCGCGGTCCGAGGAGGGGCGGGGAAGTGGGCGGGCGCTGCGAGCCCAGGGCTGGCACCCGAATGAAAGGCCAGAGGGCGTGTACCCCTCCCGTCCTGGCCCGCCGACTAGGGGCTCCCAAGGGAGCCTCCCCTTCCCTCCTTCACTGTTCCCCTGAACCGGCCTCCTCCCCTTTCCCACGCATCTGAGTCCAGCACCACGCTCTAACCACCACATCCTTTCCAGACCCAACCCTTGTCCGGAAGCTGGAGGGCTCGAATCGGAAGCTGCCCCGGGCAGAATCACCTAGCCAGGCAGGACCATCCCCCAGCTCCTTGCTCCCCAGGCCCCAGGTTGCAGCTAGAGTAAGTCAAGGCAGCCAAGAGGTGGGACTTCCTGGGACCCCTGAGAGCAGGACCCAGCCCGTGGGTGCTCTGCTTGGAAGGCAGTTTCAGGATCAAAGCTGGCTTGGGTCCCCCTCCCGCCCCCACAGTATTCTGACTCTGAGATGGGGGTGGTGGAGGTCTCCACTGTTTGAGCTGACTCAGGGTGGCACAAAGGACAGAGTGTCCAGATGCGGCGGAAGCCGAGCCTCAGTTTCTCCATCTTAGATGGCCCTGAGCCTCTAAGAGGGAAGTTACTGAGCCCAGGACCCATGGTGGGAAAATTGGCCTTGGAGCGTGGGTTTATGGCCCCTGATGTTTGGCTGCCTCAGAGTGTGTGTGCGTGCGTGCGTGTGCCTATCTGTGAGTGCGTGTGTATGAGTGCGCACATGCACATGCTTTTCTGTGTGTGAGTGCGTGTGTGTGTGTGTCTGTGTATCCCCGCGAGGCCTTCCCCAGATTTAACATCCCAACCACAGGGCTCTGGCTTAGCCCACCAAAGAACTGAAGCGTCAACAGAGCTGTCCCCACAGGCCCCCGGGGCTGGGGTTCTCAGCAGCACGCACCACACACACACACACACACACACACACACACACGGCACAGAGACTGCCACCCACATGGGGCTTAGCAGACAGCATCACACGCAAACCCACAGCCCGCATGCTCACACGCTCATGCGTCATTCACACTGGAACTGCACACTCAAGGGCACCCGAAGTCACCGGTCTTCTGAAAAAACACAACACTGGCTCTCGCATTCTGTCGCACGTCCACGCACACACACGCTGCCGGCTCCACGCCCCACGTGATCGTCACCTGTCACAGACACTCAGCGCTCCCCCCGCGTCCTCCTTCCCGGGGCGGTCCCTGCCCTTCCCCTCTCCTTGCGCTGTGTAGGCGGTCCCCTTGTACCAGCCCTGCCCCACGACGACCCCAAGACAGCCTGGACCCCACTCTGCAGCCCCTCAGAACCTTGCCCTACTGGTCAGCCTGAGGGGCTTGACCTCGAGGGGTCTTCCACTGGGGTTTGGGGGCGTCCTGGGCACCTCAGGCTGTTGAGCCGCATCCCTGACCCCACCCACTCGAAGCTGTCAGCCCACCCCCAGTTGTGACAGCCGCACGTGTCCCCAGAGATCGCCAAGTGTACCCAGGGGAGCAGAGTCATCTAGAGTGGGAACCGCTGCTCTGCGATCAGGGAGGACACATCAGTCTTTGTCAAAGCACCCCCAGTCGGGAAGTGGGGCCTTATTCCTTCCTGCCTGCTCCAAGCGCAGCTACACCAGCAATCCCCATCGCAAACGAACCCAGCAGAACCGTCGCCCATGTGGCGGACCCCGAGGCCAGTTCCCGAGGGGTGTGTCCTTGGTGGGTGAGGTCCCCACTGGCCAAGATCTCCCAACAAGTGAGGCCCCTGGCAGGTGAGGCCCTGGAGCCCAGATTCCTGCCGGTGAAGGTGCCCAGGAGATGAAGTCCCAGGTCAGTGAGCTCTCCAGCAACCAGAGTCCCCAGCAGGTGAGATTCCTGAACGCAGAGCTGGCTGACAGGCGAGGCCCCGGGCTACCAGCTCACGTGAACCAAGAGGCGATGCTGGGCACCGTCTGGTACCTGACTTCCTCTTGCAGCCGCCAGCAGGCCTTGCAGAACATGAGGTTCCAGCTGAAGGATCGAGGCCGCAGCGTCTCCCGCCAGCGGAAGTAGGTCAGGTAGCGGGCGTGGTCCCTGTCCAGCGCCAGCAGGTACTGGGCCAGCTCCTTGGGGCTCTGGAAGTCGTCGACATGGATGAAGGCGTCGGGCGGCAAGAACTGTTCATAGTTCCTGCGCCCGGGGCCCAGCACCACGGGCACGGCCCAGGCCTGCAGGGCGTTCTTCCACAGCTTCTCTGTGATGTAGTCGGGGTGCAAGGAGTTCTCGAAAGCCAGGTAAAACTTGTACTGGGACAGCTGCTCGGTCATGAGCGCCCGGGGGAGCGGCCGGTGGAAGCGGCCGTACACGTCCACGTGGAGATGCACGCGGAGCTGCTGGTAGTAGCGCACCCGCTCTGAGTCGTGCCTCCAGTTGGACACCACCCAGGCCACCAGCTGGGTCTTGGCCGAGAGGTTGACTGGGGCACTGGCCGGAGGGCCTGGCCACGGCTCGAGCCAGCCGTATGGCGTGAAGATGTCTGAGTCTCTGCGGTAGGACATGGTGAGGTTGAAGTGTCCGTCCAGGGCCTTCAGTTGAGGGGAGTGGACAGGCGATTCCATGTTGAACCAGACCCAGCGCTGGCCCGGTGGCCTCGGGGACGGTGGGAGCAGCTCCTCTGGCCGATAGCTGACCTCTCGGTGATGCACGAGGACCGCGTCCGCCTGAGGGTACACGCTGCGGTTGGCGGTCAGCTGGCAGTCGGCCGTGCCGGGCCACAGGTCTGAGCAGCGGGACAGAGCCACAGGGGTGTTAAATGGCCACGTCCACAGCAGGAGAAGCAGGGGCGAGCGTGTCGGGGGCCCCGTGGTGGCCTGGCAGGGGCCCTTCCCGGAGGACACCCACCCAGCACACCCACTGGGAGCCGTGGGGGAAGGGCCCACTGCAGTGGCCTCCGACTTAGGGGCCTCGTCGTGGGACACACGCAGGTAGGAGAAGAAACACAGGGCCAAAAACAGCTGCAACAGCAGCCTGGGGAGATAATAGCGCCAGGGACATCGTATCTTGGCCCAGCCGAGTGGATCCATGGGTGAGAACAGCTGGAGGAGGGAGAGTGGAGAAAGCAGCACCGATTACAAATGTGATAACACGCCTGGGTGCACACGTGGCTCAGCAAAGTTAATATTGAGTCCACAGGTGGCACGGTCACAATCCCCATGTTACAGAGGAGAACACCGAGGCCAGGGCACTCAGAGCGAGGACATGAGGACACGAGGACATGGCACAGCTGGAATTCCAGCAGAAACAGTCCGACCCGGAGCCCGCTTCCTCCCAGCCGGGAGGCACGGCCTCAGGAGGGGCGGCCAGGGGAGGTGGGAGAGGCGCAACAGCTCCAGGGTCCCACCTTGACCTTGCCCTTTCCTAATATCTCCAGACCCTTCTCCAGTCTGGGGAGAAGACAGAGTGGGTTACAGGGGCTCCCAGTGCCTTGTAGTTGAGGCATAAGTTCACAGCTTCGCTGAGAAGGGTACAATGGGAATGGGCTTTGAGGGCAGTGTAGTAGCGCACCAGGGACAGCAGGAGCTGGGGGGAAGGGTGTTCCTGGCAGAAAAACAGGCAGTGCGAAGGCCTAGAGCTGAGAGAGCCTGGCCTGTTTGCAGGGGGAGCAAAGGAAGTGCTTAGGGGTGCCAGTGTGAACTTGATTTTACATTTCCCGGGCGTTCCCGCTCACTAAGTGCTCAAAAACAGCCGCTCGGGCTCTGTGCTCGGTGATCCTGGGTATTCTGAGGTCTGGGTGATTTCTCTGCATTCCTGGTCCTTCCTGTCCCCGCAGGCGGCCATATAGTCCTCCCAGACCCCAGACCACACCACTGAGCAGCAATCTACGACCTTGGCTCTGCCCCGCTCCGCTTCCTGCTGCCCTGGAGCGGCCCGTTTCACAGATGAGAAAACTGAGGCCCAGACACGTGTGTGCCTCCTGCCTCAGTACACAGAGCCAGAGCATCGGGATCCCGAACTTCAACTCTCCCTGTTAACGTGACGGCTAAATTCCCCCCCATGTGGCTGGTAGAGCGCAGTCGCCAGCCCGGCACTATCCCATAGAACTTTCTGCAACCAGGGAAGGCTTCTACGTCTGCACCATCCCAATCTGTGGCCACCAGCCCGGTTCGGCTACTGAGCCCTTGCGATGTAGCTGTTGTGTCTGAGGAGCGGACTTGGTGATGCTCATTTAATGTCAAAACCGGAACCCTCTCCGATAGGTCAGAAACAGCTTCGAAACGAAATCGAACCCAAACGACGTCTGCTTCTCAACTCAGAGACTGGGAAACGCCTGCATACACTTGGAACACCGTGGGTGTTCGATTTCGTCTGCCGCTTGCTCTGTGTGTGTTGTGGTCTAAGTACAGACCCAGTGTCTCTGAGGAAAACTGAGTGTCCGCGTTAGCTGTGCTGCCAGAAGCGGGCGCCGGAGCCCCAGGACTCAGAGTGAAAAGGAGAATGCAAAATATCAGTGATTTCTACACCGATCACACCGAAATAACACTAGTCTGGACCTACCGGGTTAAAGAAAGTACGTTATTCAAATTGTTTACCTGTGTCTTACATTTAAAAAATGTGGCTACTGGGAGCGTGTTGTGCATCCACGTGGGTCGATGGCATCTCTATGGGGCGCCGTGTGTGGCTGCAGAATGCCTAAGCAGGGACTGAGCGAGGAGTGTAATTTAAATGCACTGACACTCAGAACGTGCCCTATGGTTAAGCGGCGCGCGACGTGGTTGAGTCTCAACCTCCGCGGTCCGACACGGGAGTCCCTGGCCGTGCGCGGCTACTGTCATTTGTCGCGTGGCTAATACGACAGGGGAACTGAAGTGCAAATGTTGTCACATCTCACATGTGCATAAAAGCTGAACCAAATAAAGCATTTTTATGGAGTGCAGCTCTACCGCTTGAGGAGAAACCCATTTCACTGCAGATGTGGATAATTTAGCATCCAAACAGGGATGTGCGTAAAGCATGGAATGTACTCTGCATCGCTGCGACTTCGTGCGACAGGAAGAATGTAAAACATCTCATTGATAACTTTCTATGTTGGTTACGTATGGAGATAATGCTTTGGATGCATGGGGTGAAATAAAATAAAATATCACGAACACTAATTTTACTGGAATCTTTCTATTCTTTTCAACGTGGCTGCTAGAAAATCGAAAACTACATTATGTGGCAGAAAATAGCATGGCCAACCCCTGAACGCCCACACCACGCAGCAGTCCCACTCCTAGGTATCCACCCAGGCGGGACGGGAGCAGGGACTGGACCAGACATGCGCACACCTGCGCTCATAGCAGCAATGTTCCCAACGGCCCAAAGCTGCTAACGCCCCAACCGTCCATCGACAGATGATGGATAAATACAATGTGGTTCAGTCAGACGATGGAATAGTATTCAGCCCGAAAAAGGAAGGAGCTTCTGACATCCTACAATACGGGTGAACCCTGAGGACGTGATGCTCGGTGAAGTAGCTGGACACAGAGGGACAAATACTGCATGATTCCTCTTCTACGAAATATCCAGAATGGGTAAATTCACAGGGACAGGAAGTAGATCACAGGTTACCAGGGGCTTGGGAGGGTTGAAAGGAGAATGTGGAGTTCTTGCTTACTGAGCAGAGTGCTTCTGCCTGGGGCAATAAACAGTTTTGGGAACAGCACAGCTGTGAATGCACTTAAGCCACTGGACCGCACACTTAAAAAGGGTTAAAACGGCAAAGTTTATGTCATAGATATTTGACCACATTTTAAAAAGTAACGTAACCTGGCAAGAACTCCTGAACTGTACGCTTTAAATGGGTGGACCGTACGGGATGTGGGTTATATCCCAAAGAAGCTGTTTCAAAACCTGGTGTCGGAGGCCGGCGGGCTCCTCCCTTTGGGCAGAGTGGGCACACACCTCCAAAGGCCTAGCGGGGGGCCAGGCAGGTGGCCCTCTGTGACCAACAGGGAGCAGAGTGTGGACTTACATGTTCATGCCAACGTTTCTGGAAAGAGAGCCAAAAAACAGGCCTTTGGGGAGCTAGCCGGAGGCAGGAAGGGGGAGAAGGCTGAACTCTGACCATCGGCCACTTTGTACGGTCAGGCTTTTGGGCTGTGCACATACAAATGTCATTCAAATGAATGTAGTTTCTCCTCTTCAGTAGGGGCCCGGGGTTTATGGCAGACCCTCCTAGGAGACAGAAGCCCTTGGCAGTGACCTGAGGAGCACAGACTGGGAGGGGTGTGGTGGGAGGCCAGTGCGGAGGTCCCACTCAAGTCGAACCCCAAACATTTGCTTCTAGAAAAGGACTGTAAGATGCCACGGAGCCGGGTCACCACAAAGATCAGGAAGGAAAACCCGAAAAGCAAAACCAAACCCCCACTGCCTCCCAAGTCCTCTTTTCCCACCGGGCAGGGCTACAGGGAACTTGAACTTGGGAAGAGTGAGGGTCTAGGGTGCGTGTGGGGGCGGGGTGCAGTGGGTTCCTAATCCAGAACTCGGCCAGACAGACCCTCCGTTTCCCCTGGTTTGGCAAATCAATCAGGACTTCCGACACCCTACTCCAACTCGCTCCATCTTGGACCCAGGAAGACCCCCATGGTAGGCCAGGAGATTCTTCCCAGGGGCATCTGATATCTTTAACCCTGGAGCCTACCTGGGGGCAGCGTGCGGGGGCGAGCGGGAACCGAGAGGTTTAGGACTGAGCTCGGCCGGTCTCCCAGGGTGTGCATGACGGGGCACCAGGGAGAAGGAAGTACACCTCTAGCTGCAGCACAGCTCAGTCCAGCCCTCAACCTGGCCTCAGGTGACCCATGGTGTCCTGTTCTAGGTGCCAGGTCATCAACCAAAAGCACGCTGTGGGCTCCCCTAATCACCACTTTCAGATCTGATAACGACAGGAGGGAGCACATGTATTCACTTTGCATCCAAACCCAGTGCATGCGACTGAGCCTGCTGGAGGAAGGCAGGGACAGAGCCACTAAAAGATCCTTCCCTGCGTATCTGAAATTCAAATTTATCTGCGCATCAGTATTTCATCAGAAGCCTCCCGAGTAAGTCTCTAGATGGACATCTTTGGGGTGGGCACACTAAATGCTGGAATTTAAGGCACTAGAACCGAGCTAGGCTGGAACCGAACCTCAGAGCAGCCATTGCTGGCATTCCCAGCTCTGCCCCTGGGCTACAAGAACAGCTTGCTCAGGTGCCTCCCACTCAAAACCCTCCCAGCCCCAGCTCCAGCGCCTGCTCCACCCCATCCCAGCCCCACCCTAGACTAGCCCCAACCACAACCCCATCACAGCCCCAGCCCAGCTCCAGCCGGACACCGCAAGCACAAGTGTAGGAAGCATCCCTCCAACACTGGTCAGAGAGGGTGAGCCGGCTCGGAGCAGCCCAACATGCGAGCAGGGTCCAGACAGGCTGTTGGTAGCCTTGAGGGCCCAGGGTGGAGGTCTGGATATTTACCCGAGCAACACCACCCAGAGAGAGTGCATGGGCGGGAACGTGGGAGATGCGCTAGTGCCCCAGCGGCCCCGCAGCTGTCATTTGGGGCAAGGGAAGAGCGAGGGGAGGTGAC